TGTCACACCCCTGTGGACTGTCGATTGTGGTTTCTCCCTCTGTGTCCTTATTTGGTGGTTCCTGTTCTCATTATCAGTTAATCACCTCATTGTGCTCACCTGTCTGCCCCTCGTTATCTGCCCTATATTAGTTCCTGTCTCTTGTGTTCTAGTTTGTCGGTTATTGTGAATGTTACCCTGTGTGTTGATGTCTACCCTGTCTGGATCTCCTGTTGTCATATCATTAAATATCCTTTTCTTCGTCGTCCTGCCTGATCTCTGGAACACCCTGCCCGTGACAGCTTTATTGAATAATTAAGTAAATACAATTCCTTAATTTACCTTTGTAAAGAAATCTCATTGCTCTCTGCTGTCTTTACCGACGACATCTTAGTCCTGTATCGGCCACCGTAGCTTCTCTAAAGGGAGGGGTGAGTGGAGGACTGAGCCGTTGGTTGCAATTCGCAACCTCACCGCTAGATGCCGCTAAAATTTAGACACTGCACCTTTAAGTAGCATGACAGTAGGTATTGCATTGTTTAGCATCTTTTTACAGTGAAATGTTAAGTCAAACATTGTAAACACTGAATAAATCTGTTTTCAACTGAGATTTTCTACACTGTAATAAATTAATAAATATTTTTTTTTTTAAATGACAGCTGTGGTTGCTGGAATAATTTTGTAAAAAATACAGAAAAACTGTAAAGACATTTACAGAACAAACTGTAAATTTTACCGTATAAAACAGTAATTTACAAACAAGAAAAATTTAATGTAAATTCAACAATGTGTACTGCTACTAAAAGCACCAAAAACTGACCACCCATAATGCAGGTGGTAAAAGAAAGCCACATGAAGAATCAAAGTCAAATCAAATCAAAGTTAAAGTATATACTAATGTAACACCCCCTTCCTGCCACTGGGAATTTTTATATGATGGGTTCAATTCGTGTTGCTACCGATTTCACACCTTAATCTCAAAATATCAGGAAAAAAATAAATGCAACTAACCACAAAGCTAAAAGTTAACCCAAATTCGAATTTACTTAATTAAAATGAATCTGTTGCCAATAAAAAATAAAAGAATATAATTATTTCGTGTTACAGTGGTAGTCTTTTCAATAAAGTTTCTATCAAACCACAAGTGTGTAGTCCCTTCCTATCAAATTAGCTTTATATGTAAAATCAACAGTCAGCAATATGAAAGAAACAAAATCAAGAACTGTCACAAATCAATGAAATGTATAACACTCTAAACAGGCAAATACTACGTAAAATACTTGTTAGTTCCAGTTGCAGGCCTCTTTGCTTCTTGTGTTCGTAGAGGCCAAGAACGCACTGCCGCTTCACTCACCTGAGCCACAACAAAATAAAATAAAACTGAAAGCAGGTACCTGTGATTAAGATATAAGTCATTTAAATCAGGATCATACGCAGTCACAGTCTGTTGGTTTCCTAATCGGAATCCATCCCCCCGAAGCACATTTGGCAGACGTCAACGTTAATCCGTGGGCACTTCCTACCGTGGTAAGGCCCTTCAGATCTCTGAATCCTCTCAACTCTGGTCAGCGGTAGACGGCAATCCAGTCACCACAGTCCACATCTTCTTCTTCTTCTTTAAATTTTATTGGCGGTTGGCAAACCAACTTAAAGGTGCATTTACCGCCACCTACTGGACTGGAGTGTGGGCAGTAACCACAGTCCACATACGTTATCGTTCCCCTTATCACTCTCTTTATCAACGAGCGCGATCCTAGACAGTTTATGCGAGATGCATTGGCTCGCCACCAATAGTTCTCCTATTAATGTCTGTGACGCACTTTAAATTAGTCAGGAACTTCGCGGTCACGCTTAGCCAGTTAAAACACATATATAGGGAGATATCTAGCTGACATCTCCCTTTTCTCGCTCGTACTATCTTCTTTTTTTCTCGTTCTTCGTCCCACCCTCTCCCATATCCTGATACCTGATTGGTCATTATTCACAAGGCACCCAATTACATTATAAAGAAATAAAATTGACAGGCCCAACAGTTTAGGTTCTCTCGAAGTGTATTTTTTTCAGTACACTAACTTATAATTTTATACAATATTAACATAAACTTTACTTGCATATGAAATATAAAACCGTAACATATTCTGGGCTACACTAATATACAGAAGGTGCACAGGGTAATTCACGCAAACACAAAACACCATCATGGTAACACACATGCAGTGTTGGGAAGGTTACTTTGGAAATGTAATAGGTTACAGATTACAAGTTACCCTATTTAAAATGTAATAGTAGTGTAACTTTTTCAATTACTTTATTAAAGTAATGTAACTGATTACTTTTGATTACTTTTTGATTACTTTTATACATTTCTAATGAATGTTTATTTGCAACTGTTAATAATGTTCAAACACCTACACCATGCAGGGTTAACCTTACAACACGCAGAGCGTGCAGGATTCATATATTGTCTTTTTTGCGGCTTAATATTCTCAGACACTAGTCCATATCGCGTTTTGATTCAAGTGTACTGACCTACTTTTGATGTATTCGTCCAAAATGTGGCATATTCCGTCCGCGTTAGGCTATACTAGGAATTCCGTTTTTATGACTGGATTCTACGAACCAGTCTGTGTTTTCCGCATCGCAGAAATTATAGGGCCGTATGTCTCGGAGTAGTCAGTGCAATTTGGGAAAGAAATCAGTTAAATCTGTATGTGGATGTGTGTAAATATTCAAATGTAATCCCCTTTGTAATCGTTAACATTTTCATAAGTAACTGTAATTTAATTACACATTTTTTCTTAGTAACTGTAACTGATTACAGTTACATTTATTTTGTAATTAAATTACGTAACGCCGTTACATGTAACTAGTTACTCCCCAACACTGCACACATGGCATTTAAATAATGCAATGAACTTTCATTAAACAACATAAAATGTAACATAAAACCCTAATATACATAACTGATAACAAAAACTATTAAGAAGCATGATTATTCAAACAAAAAACTTTCAAATTGTGAAGTCACATAGGGAATTGTGGGAATATCAGTTTACACTCATTTTTTTTTTACAGTGTATTATTAGTTGTAATACTGTACCTGTAAATAGTATAAATCACACTAAATGAGATTCATTCAAAAATCCTTGGTTTTGGGCTGAAAAAATTTAGCTCTGATTAAATTATATTTAAATGATATACAGTATTTCTTCTGAATTTCAGATAGACGTTTCCTTGTTAAGTAGCTTCAATGTAGTAATCTAACTACTTTTTTCCAAAAGGATAACAAGCTACTATAGTATAGCTATACTTTAAAACTGTAACTTGTAGCTTGACAAGCTTCAAAGCTTTCCCAACAACAGCGTTCTCTCTGCAGCAATACATAAAAGAGTAATCCTCTGAGAACTCAAACAGTTCCATTTAAAACAACCATACAAAATATACATCAAAACAGAAAACCACAACTGAACAGAAATGCTCTGAGAAAACCTTTTTTTTTTTTTTTACATTTGGGGGTACATGAAGGAAGAACTTATTTTTGTATGGCATTTCAACATTATGATTCATCCCTCATTTCATGTAGATAATAGAAGATGTGATTGTGAGTCAATCTTTATTCACTGCCTTGTGAGAGACTGCATCGGCCAAACAAAAAAAGTAGGACACAGTATAAAAGCTAGCATTAAAAACATAGGAAAAGGCAAAGAAAACTACCTATGTGACCAAAGGGATATGCTAGCCCGTCAAACATATGACTAGACACTCGTTTCAGCTATACTTTGAAGTAAATTCACTTAAATTAGCAATGTTTCAGGACAATTGGAACTAAATAAAATTTTACTTGTACAGTACCAGTCTGCTGTTAATTTACAAGTCTTCTTTCTTAGCTGTATTTAATTACTGAACAAATGAACAGCTTACACAAACACCAAACAATTGCTGTGGGAGGAATAACTGCATAAATTCAGCTGTGTTTTTGCTCTTTCCTAATCCTGTATTCTTCATACAGGTTTGGTCCAAAAGCACTGTGAAGCTTATCTTGTCGGACACACAGGCCTCCTCAGATTGAGGCCAAGCACACATTTTTTGTTTAATCATTAGATACCTTGCACAAAAGACGATGGGATGGAACAGCTCTTTGTTCACACCTGTTGCATCAAAGAGCTAAGGGATAGTTAAGCTTGCATAAAAACACTCGGCACAATGATTGACTTTATTCTCTAAAGCCTCTCCTCCTACCTGATTCTTTTAATTTAAGATGAGCAATCAGGCACTTCAGTTCAATTAATTCACCAGACAAAACCACAAGTGAATGGGGCTATTTTGTGTATGTCTAGAATTAATTCAAAAGGCGATGAGCTAAAGACTGGCCTGTACTGAAAGCATTATGCGGATGTGTCTTTGATGTGTTAGATTTTAGATTAGTTAAATCCAATTTTCATGTTTACTCTAGTGCTCTGGAGCGTGTCTGTCTTGCATGTCCTGATAATGATATGAACACATGATAACAAAGTGTTTGGCAATGTGTAGGTGACTGTACAGGCGACGTGCATCACTCTTACGGCGATGAGTGGAGACCGTTGCTATGTGACTGTGTATCCTCTGAAATCCCTGCACCATCGAACCCCTCGTGTCGCAATGATTGTTAGCATCTGCATCTGGATCGGTAAGTCATTTAGTACAATTCTATATCACATACACAAAACATAAAGAAAGATAATTTTGTTATAATGTCATTAATGGATAGTTCACCCAAAAATGAAAATTACCCCATGATTTACTCACCCTTAAGGATCCTAGGTGTATATGACTTTCTTCTTTCAAACGAATACGATCAGAGTTGTATTATGCTACACTGATGTCCTATGTCCCCCCCTCCACCAGCCCCCCGGAGCCATGTGGAACACGTTTTATTATGGATGGATGCGCTCAATTGGACTTCATTTAGACGTTTGAAAAATAACACCCACCCACTGCCATTACAAAGCTTGGAAGAGCCAGGACGTTTTTAAATGTAACTCCGATTGGATTCGTCTGAAAGAAGAAAGTCATATACACATAGGATGGCTTGAGGGTGAGTAAATTATGGGGTAATTTTCAGTTTTGGGTGAACTATCCCTTTAAAAAAATGTCCTGGCTCTTCCAAGCTTTATAATGGCAGTGAATGGGGGTCGTGATTTGAAGCCCAAAAAAGTGCATCCATCCATCATAAAAGTACTCCACACGGCTCCAGGGGGTTAACGAACTCAATTTTTCATTTCATTGTTTTGTGTTTTTAAATGCAAAATGTGTTCTGTGTGAATGGCCCAACAGTGAAGCAAATGTAAATGTGTGATGGGGCCATTTATATTGAACACGTTCTCTACGCGAGACAAAAGCGGTGAAAAAGAATGCAGCGTCTCGAGACAGGTTTTTCAAAATTCTTTGACACAGTGTATTAAAAAACATGGCACTCATGCACGAGATGCAGCCAGACATGGCACAACTGTCAGAACAATACTGCAGAAATGCACTCTGTGTGAATCAGCCCATGGAATCTCTTTATTCTTTCCAACGTTGTTTGTCTGTTATCTCAGCCTGATCTCATTATGATTCATACACAGAATTTACACACACACTTTATATTAGGTGGCCTTGTACTAACATTTAAATTAATCAGTTGAGACAATGCACTTATTTTGTACATACATGTTTTTACATTGTACATATTTATTTTGTACATATTATATATTTATTGTATGTATTTTATTTAGAACTGCAATATATTTACTATAATATAATCTGTTTCCTTTATATTATATATTTTTAATATTTTATTTTTGTATATATTGTAATATTGTATAGACCAAAACACGCAATTACCAGAGGTCCATCTAGAAAAGTAGTCCCACTAGGTTTAGACAATTCTACATTTTTTTCTATAACTTTTTCCCCTGAAGAATTAATGTAAATGCTTTAGTAGAAATTCAGGCTTCACATTTATTCTTTTAAACATGTCCACTTCCATGTAAGTGTATGACAGTACCTAACTGCATTTAACCCAGAATACTCCTATAAATTAAAAGTCTATAAATGAAAAAGCATTCAAATTCTCATAATCCCTTTTGTTATGCAACAAGGTTCCTTCATCCTTTCCATACCAATCTTCCTGTACCAGAGGCTTGAGGACGGCTATTGGTATGGACCAAGAAAATACTGCATGGAGAGGTTTCCATCAAAGACCCACGAGAAAGCTTTCATCCTCTATCAGTTCATAGCCGTATATCTACTGCCTGTCATTACCATCTCCTTCTGTTATTCCTTCATGCTGAAGAGAGTGGGACAAGCTTCCGTGGAACCAGTGGATAACAACCATCAGGTATGATCGTGGGTAACAACCATCAGTGATGACACTCCACTGAATGGACATGAAAGGCTATATGTGCTTTAATCTATTATTCAGGTGTATATCCTCCCGAGAGGCTGTGAAACATCTTGGTTTCTTTTCTTCTCTTCAAAAGTAAAGAAATAAAGGAGTTGTAGTAGTAACCTTTATTTAACAAGGTAAAATAAAAATAATTTAAGGGCAAAATAATATATGTAGAGCCTTGTAAAAAATAAATAAATACAGAGCTTAATTTTGTACATGCTACACTTAAATATTAATAAAATTAACTATATTAATATAAAATAGAAAAAAAATTTTTTTGAGTGTTTATTCCCGACTTTTAATATTTTGAAAAATTCATTTTCACAGCAAAAACAGCATTAAGTCATCTGGTGTAGGTGTGGTCCAGTTACACATAGGCGGTGTCCGAAACCTAAACTCATGACTTTACAGGCAGCGTTTTGTGTTTTGAGTTTCTATATATAAAAAAAAAAATCCAATAATTGGTAATTATATATATAGGGTAGTCATTTTGTACCAGGAACACCACAAAAAGTTATTTAAAAAAAAATGCATACTCTGCATGAGCAAAGTCAGTAAGTTTTAGTCCAATGCAATAACGTTAACTTTTCTGGAAAAAGACAATCCTCTCTGGGTCAAAAAGATTGGAACAAAACAAGATATACGCTTTGAAGATAAACAAGCATATATTTAATGACTTATTTTTTGATAGAAATGGAATCATATGTTGAAATAAACAGACATTTACTTAAATAGATTTACTCTAGATATACTTTCACTCCTTCAGACACGGCTTTATTCTTTTCACCAACTGCTGAGCTGATCATATGCTGCCTACAAAAACCAAACTAAGCTGAACAGATCAGTTGCTGTTACGCATAGCATACACTGGGTTCAGATGTGCCTTGGACACGTCAGACAGCTGAAACATTCACATGTGATTTGGGCCCAATTTTGTTTTGTTTTTCCCAGACAGATTTGTGACAGGGTTTAGGTTCACACCTATGCTTCACAATTTTCAAACAGTGGCACAAATTCTTTATTAGACTGAGATTTGCAGTATTTTCTCTTTGACAAAAAAAACAGTCCAGTTGATAATGAAAAGCCACCTCACAGCTTGATGCTGCCACCACCACACTTCTCTGTAAATATAGTGGCTTTTTGATACATGGACAGTATAGCTTTGCCACACATTCGCTTTGAATTCCAGACTAAAAGCTGCTAAAAGCTCTATCTTATCTGAGAAAAAAAGATCTCCCACATTACAGCTGAGTGACCTCTCATTCACTCAGAGTTCCTGAGTCACCATACTGCTTTTTGGCCAGCAGATGTTTACACAGTCTTACAGGTCTTTTTCTTGTTTTGTTTTTTTGAGTTTTTTTGAGGAATGAATAATTTATGCAGCAGTGCTGCAAAATCACATTTGAATTTTGTTTTGTACCCTTTTCCTAATTAATGCTTTTGTTTCATATTATCTTCTTCACTATTTTATCTTCACTGTAAATTTGTGCAATGGTCTGTACTGTTCATTTTCAAAGCCAACAGATTCACAGCATGAATAATGATGGAGCTGTGGGACCTTAATCCAGAAAATATGCTGGCTAATTTAGTAATTCAGAGATCAAACTCAACTGTTTTTACAGCAAAAATTGTGAGTGTTTTATTTATCTGTGTATAGTTACAACAGCATCTTGCAGTTTTGTATTGTAGGAATATTTAAGGGTCAGTGATAAATAAGGATATCTAAAATTATATAGTCATTGAATTCATGTTGCTTTACTTTAAAAACAAAAACAAATTAACAACAAATAAATGGTGTAACCACCAGGTTAAAAAAAAATAAATAAAATAAAACTATATACTTTTCTGTACACCTTGAATATTCTTATATACACATCTTAATCATTATTTAAAAATATATTAAAATCTATCTATAATTAAATATCTAAAAACAAATCCCTTAAATAAAATTTAACCATTTTTCTTACTTAACCTAACTTGCCTTAATTTTTCAAAAAAAAAAAAAAAAAACTTAATGTAATCAAATAGTCATACAGGGAACTTTCTTTTCTGTCACATGACTATTATATCCGTTTTTACAATATTAATCATATTTTAAAACAAAATATATTTTAAATATGTAAATATGAATGAAAGATTACACAAACTACTTATGTCAACATTACTTTATGAAATTTAGAATTTAGAAACTGAAAACATTTTCATCAAAAAGAGGTGTATTCAATTCATTTTTATATATTTGTTAATAACATCCAGACAGAAAAAAAATATTGTTTCTTATCTTGTCAGATTTAAGTACATTAAAAATACAAAGAACTGCATTTCAGTGTATAACTTCATTAGAATGACTGAAATTCTTAATACTTTTGCAGAGCGCTGTCACTAAATGTATAAAAATATGTGGACTTTTCTTTCTTTTTTTTTCTTTTTTTTTTTGTAAAATCATATATCAGACCCCTTTTGCCCGCTATAATCATATCAAAACCTTGTTTATTTCAGGTCCACCTGCTCTCAGAGAGAACTATCTCCATTAGGAGCAAGATTTCCAAAATGGTAGTGGTCATTGTTGTTCTCTTCACCATCTGCTGGGGTCCCATTCAGATCTTTGTCCTGTTCCAGTCTTTCTATTCCAACTTCAAAGCCAACTACGCAACATATAAGATCAAGACATGGGCCAACTGCATGTCCTATGCCAACTCCTCTATCAACCCTATTGTCTACGGTTTTATGGGCGCCAGCTTCCGCAAGTCCTTCAGGAAGACCTTTCCCTTCCTCTTCAGACACAAAGTGAGAGACAGCAGTGTCGCCTCCCGCACGGCCAATGCAGAAATAAAGTTCGTAGCAACGGAGGAGAGCAACACTGAGAGGAAATGAGAGCAGATGACACCTCAACCATGAATCCATGCCAACTGTCTAGTCGCCGAAGCACAGGCTTCCCCCATAAATAGGGGTTATATTCCGTTCGCTGAGTTGTGAAAAAATTCTAATGTGGTGCAAAAGGCCATTTAGAAGGCAAAGAACTGCAAAAGTGCACATAAATTATTACAGTTATAATTACAGAGTTAAGTAGTATTATTTAATATTGGCATCCAACAACTCTTATGATTGTCCCTGCTGTGTTATGAGAGCTTGCGTTTTTAAAAGTTGTATGGAAAGCTCATTTCACAGGGCGTAAGTTCACGGATGGGGAACCAAACGGATGTTCTGCCAGCGGAGATGTGTAGGAGCTTGCCTGAGAGGATGTTGACTAAATCAAACAAGGCAACTGTTGACTCATCTATTGTGTTTGACACATACACGACACCTCCCTGTGCACACTGCCTCATGAAACACCACTCCAAACTGCCCTTCATCGGTTGCATTTATATATTCTGAGCATTCTACGACATGGCTCAACCTGAAGAGGTGTACTCACAAGGTATAGACTCTCTCAAAGCACACCACTTCTCAAGATTGAATGAATGTTGCTCAAAGCACAGTGTCTATCCTAGAATAATCTCAATTGCCTTGCTGGCAGGTGCAGCGAGGGTTAACAAACATGTGTGAATGGAATTGAAGATGATAAAGATAACATCATTAATGTGATAAATGTAAGATGTATTTTATTTAAAAAAAAAAATAGGATGCAGCATAATGTCTCAATAACCATTTTCAAGGAGCAATTCACCCAGAATGTTTTTTGCGTTTAATAATGCGAGAAAAAATGCAAGGAAAATGCGGATTTTTTTACATTTATTATTGTTTCAGTACTTTTAACCTGAGCAGCACATTTATAGTATACCGTGTAATGTGCAAGTTGCTGCTAAAAATGCTGGATGGGCGCACAACGGTCAAACACGTCCATCTACCGTAGTAAAAAAGTAATATATTTAAAATACATTTATTTCCTACTAAGTGTTGTTCAAATCTATTAGCATATTTACTGACATATCGTTCGAGACTTATTGATATAAAAATTATAATTAAACTTTATTTGGAGTACTACTTGTGCGCAATGCACATTTCTTCATATTAAGCCTAAAATGTGTTTTAATGTCACTTGATGAGGATTGTATGATCTTTAAATAATAAAGGTCTTTAAATGCAAGAGATTTAAAGTGATACTTGCAATAGTTCCACTTTAGCACAATCAAATAAACTTCAGTGTATCTTTAGTTGGACTTCAGCACTATACTTCCGCACAATTAAAGTACATTAAGTAAAAAATTAGTTGTTCCAATTTAGCAGATTTTAAGTATACAGTTTAGTATACTAAAAGTACAATTGCAGGATATTTTTATTAAGTGCAAACATATGTCAATTTATTTGTAGTATACTTAGCATTAAATACATTTATTTCAAATTGATTTTGGTGTATTTATTTTTCACTAGAGTAGTGCATTTTGACAATGGAAAAGAAGTGCATTGGAATGCATTAAACGTTTTTTGTGTGAACAGCCCCTTGATATGTTGTCGTAAAAATGCAACACTCATGTGCAAGATACTGAAAAAGCAGTGCGAAGCAGTGGTCAAATATGTTTTTCAGGCAATTTAAACAGATACAAACGTATTTTTTGTGTGTTGAAAAATACAAAATACAAAACAGGTCTAGAGGCACATTTTTAAAATTTCACTTCTTTTAATGAGTGAAATGGTGAAATATGTCCTAACAAGATTACAATTAAACAAAGGAATTTAGAAAAGTGAAATGCAAAAATGCTTTCTGTGTGAATGACCCCTAAGTTGTCTGTATCTTCAAAACACTGAAAAAGCAGCACAACACAGTGGTCAGTGATGTTTTTCTAAGGGGCCATTCACAAAGAACGAGTTTTTGTGTTGAACTTGTAAATTGCAAGACGCAAGCAGTGGAATTTGAAAAAGAAGAAAAAAAAAACAAGGTCTGCAAATACATTTTTTAAAAGTTCTTTTAACTTGAGCATCATGTTTTTAAAATGCTGTCATCTGCTAGACAGTGCAAAAGCGCAATGGTTAAACATCCCTCTGGTGCATGTTTACATAGAAAAGCAACTGAAAAGTAGCACAGTGAAATGCAAATATGCGTTCTGTTAAAATGGCCCTAAGTTGTCTGTACCCTGACCCTTGAGGACATCTGAATGAAACACTTACAAAAACAATGGTCAAAGACTTTAGTCTAGCACATATTTACATTGAAAAACAGTTAACAAGCAAGGATGTGGAGTGCAAAAACGCATTTTGCATGAACTGTCACTTACATATTCAGTGTACTGGATTTGGTAAATGAATAGCATCCTCCGAGGATTTCCCAATGTGCCCATCATTTTGATGTAACAATTGAGGTAAAATGGCTTTTCATGCAGAAATGGCAATACAACACGTCTACAGGGTAGATTTATTTACCATGCTAAGTGAGAAGGAATTCAAAGGGGAATTAAGTGTGATTTTGTTTTGCTAGCGTGTGCTACCGCAAAGCTTGCTTAATTACTTTTGTCCAAAGCAGAAATAGATGTCTTATCATTAGCATTTGTGAAATGTTTTAACAAGCAGAGCTAAGTAGCTAAAAGCTTTTCTTGAAGTGCTGTCGGTTTAACCTTGGCATTAATAAATTATTCAGTATCCTTCAAGCATGGTCCTGCTAGCTCTATAAATGCCTTAAAGAATTCTAATCTGACTGGACTTGAGTAGCTTTGTTTGTCTTCTTCCTTTTTTGCCTTTTTTATTTCCATATTTCTTCGTCTTGTTAAGAAGAATTTAGTTAGTTAGTTATGGTTTTGTAGAATACATATACAACTAGAAGAGACTAAACAGGTTTCTGTCTAAAATGTCCTGTCTATTAAAGATTCTTATAATCACTTCCAGTGCATATACTGTCTGCATTTAGAAATGTTTTTATCTACAAACGTATGATCAGAGTTTTCAAATGGATCATCATTGAACTTTATGTATTGTCAATTTGCATAAATAAATTTGCCAAATCTATTAATAATTATTCAACTTGTTCCAGTGACATCAAACAGATATTTGATATTCACTGCATAATGCATCTTTAATTACCATGCAGAGTGTATTGCTCTGAGAAAATGGCAAGGCAAAATCAAGCAGTTGGACTGATGGACTGATAGCATGGAAATAACCCCATACACAGGCAGCCAATTATTATCTTGATCAGTGGAAAAGGGGCAGGAAGTGCGTAATCAGTCCTGCTATTTCAAAGCGCTAAACTAGCATCTGTCCTCGTCTTGGCCTAAGGTCTGTAAACCGAGCAGAGGCACTGCAATAGTTTAATTCACTTTAAAACTGTGAGATGCAATGAGTCACTCTATTCATTATATTACACTCATAAAGAAACTATCTAGCTAATTTATTCAGCAAATAATTAGCCTAAACCATTGAAATTTCGCCTCAGACATCTTTAAAATGTCAGCAGAAGTTTTCAGTGTCAATTAAAATTATAATTTAATCATGTTGAATACAAATAAGCTAGAAGTACATAAAAGCTGATGTTACATTCCTAACACAGATTCTGTCAAATGGTATGACATAAATGCAACAATCAGTGAAAATGTTTTATTATGTGAACATTATATTATATATGAAAGACTACATGAAATACAGAATTTAATACATTTAAAAAGCACTTTGTAAATGAGTAAAAATATTGGAACAAATATTACAGTAATTTTAAACCATCATTCACATGTAATGTTACAGTTATAGCAAGTAAAAAAGAAAACAACACACAACATTTGTATCTTTTAAATGCTAATTTGTAACTCTCAATTAAATAAACTGTTTAAAATGATGTAAGATTTTATTTATTGCAAATAAAAATTATGATAACATATATAAAAAAACATTTTCATTTTTTTCTTCAGATGATCAGGTGTTGATCGTTACTAAAACTATGTATTACCTAGGCAGATGTCACATTTATTGAATGCCACAATTATCCCTGCCCTCTTTTATATTTGTTATGTCAGACATGATGAGGTTGTTCACTTGAACGGGGGTAAACACTCATTTGAATTTTTCTTTTTCAATGTATAAATTCAGAGGTTCGACATCTCAATGGGCACAGAGTGACTGCCTCTGTAATCACTCTCCAGTGCACTCACTTGTCACTGAAGTGTGTGTTTGAGTGTGTTTGGAATTTGGTGTTGATTCACTTGCATTGCAGAAGAAATGAAAACATATTGCTTGCAGAGGAAAATATGGCTTTGCTGAGAAAATATTGCTTGCAAACTTTTCACTTTTGTACACCATATTTCCACAGAATTGATGAAGAGCAATTACATTTTTTATTATTAAATCATAAATTATTATTACTGAATGGATGTAGAGATAATACTGGATTTCAACACTCCCAACGCCAACTCCTCAACACACTCAACATCACTGTCCTTTTAAATGCTAATTTGTAACTCTCAATTAAATAAACTGTTTAAAATGATGTAAGATTTTATTTATTGCAAATAAAAATTATGATAACATATATATAAAAAAACATTTTCATTTTTTTCTTCAGATGATCAGGTGTTGATCATTACTAAAACTATGTATTACCTAGGCAGATGTCACATTTATTGAATGCCACAATTATCCCTGCCCTCTTTTATATTTGTTATGTCAGACATGATGAGGTTGTTCACTTGCACGGGGGTAAACACTCATTTGAATTTTTCTTTTTCAATGTATAAATTCAGAGGTTCGACATCTCAATGGGCACAGAGTGACTGCCTCTGTAATCACTCTCCAGTGCACTCACTTGTCACTGAAGTGTGTGTTTGAGTGTGTTTGGAATTTGGTGTTGATTCACTTGCATTGCAGAAGAAATGAAAACATATTGCTTGCAGAGGAAAATATGGCTTTGCTGAGAAAATATTGCTTGCAAACTTTTCACTTTTGTACACCATATTTCCACAGAATTGATGAAGAGCAATTACATTTTTTATTATTAAATCATAAATTATTATTACTGAATGGATGTAGAGATAATACTGGATTTCAACACTCCCAACGCCAACTCCTCAACACACTCAACATCACTGTCAGCAGTGTCCTTCAGGTTTCTGGATTCAATCTCCCAGAACCTGTGGGAGACTTATATTGATGTAAAAAGCTTCAA